TTGTACGCATCAATTTTCAAAATATTTGGGGGTTTGGTGGGGGTCAGTGGGGGCTATGAAATGCACCATCGATATCATGAATCGCTTTCACAATGTTAAGGTGGGACATCTCTTTTTACAAGTTTAATTACAATTAGTTATATAAATAGTAATTATTAGTTAATTAATTAGTTAATAAATTATTGTGTTATATAAATATGGGAAAGGCATTTACTTTAAATAATAATATGTTTAAATAAGATAAGTAAAAACAATTTTCAATAAAAATTTTCTAAATGCTTAATATCAATATTAATACGTTTATCTATTTATAATTAGACATTTGACCAGGGACTTGAATTATTTCCGCAATTTGGGAATAAATGGCCCTACACCTATCCCAATAGTTGGCAACTTTGCGAGTTATTTCTATAATTACCAATCAATGCCAGACCTTAATTGGAGCATGCAATACGGCAAAATATACGGGTAATTATTGATTTTTTAAATATTCAAGATATAAATTTATGTTTATATGCTTTTCCGTTAAAGTTCTTAAAAACTTATGGATAAAGGAATATACAAAAGCTGTTTGCTTTACTTTTTTGAGAATTGAACTATTATTATAGTTTGAGATGTTTTTTCAATAACTTATTTTTTATATCAGATAAATGAGGGAAAGGGAGTAGAAATCATTGAAAAGACAGATTGCATTAAAAGGTCGCGCCCAGGAGTTGAACCCGGAGCCTCCTGATTACATATCAGGCCTCCTAACGGCTAGACCAAGCGCTCTATAATACAATTTGTCGCTTATTTGGGTATTTAAAGGTAATATTATACTATACCTGTAGAGTCTATAGCTACGATGCGCATACATTGTAATCCGGGCCACATTAGCAGTGACAAAACAGTTAATATTATAACATTCGTCAGTATTGAGATTAATGTTAAAATGTTTAAAGTTTTGTCACTCATAGTGTGGCCCCAAATGGCTCCGGTATGCATCGTAGGTCTATAGTATAGACACTACATTGAGTGTTAATATAGTTTAGTGCAAACTTACAGTTTAAAGGTTTTACTATAGATACAGCACTGTGTATACGTACAATAGTTATTAATAATTAGATATCATTTTAATCAATGTTATCTAATTATTAACAACTATTACTATAGTTTGATGATAATTCTCAAAAATAAATGTACAAAATAAAGCAAGCGCCCTGTAGTAAAAATATAACATTTAATTAAGAGATTGTTCATAAGGGCTGAGAAATAAGTCATTTTTAAAAAATATTTTTAAATATGGAAAAAATTAAAAATATAATAAACTTATTAATTAATTAAAAATGTAAGCAAAAATAAAATTATACCAGTAGTCAAAAATTTTTATCAGTTTGATAAACATTAGACAAATGTATTATATCGATTAACTTCATGAAAACCTTGTTTATAAATAATCCCTTTAAAATAATTTAATTCATAAATAAACCGAAATATACTCTTATGATTAGGTCAAATAACATTATCCCGAATTGAGTTATATTTATACCGGTACTAATAATTAAACTAAACTTATATTTACTATAATAATTAGCTACTTTATGGGCAACGTACCGATATTATCAATTTGCGATTTATCCCTGGTAAAACGCATACTAATCACCGATTTCCACGTGTTTAACGATCGATCAAAACGAATAGTATCCAATGGGGCGTTTGTTATCCAGGCCATATGGGGCGAGGTTGACTTCGACGCATCTAGGTCAATATTAAGCCCCGCACACACCGGGTCAAAGTTGCGTCAAATATACCCGACAGTCGACACCAGGCTCCAGGCGCTCGACACTCACTTGTCGGCGTTGATGGGCACCGATAGAGCGGTGGTCGACGTGGCCCGCCTATGGCGAGCGTTCACGTGCGACGTCTACCCCGCGTGCGGCCTATCGCTGGACACGCGACCGTACGACGCGCCCGAAAACACGTTGGCCGCACACGTGCGCCGATTCGTGCAAATCGATATCCGCAAGGATTTGGTGTCCCTGGCGTTACCGCCGTTCGCCGCCAAGTGGCCCAAAATAAGCGACTATCGCGTAATGGCCTATCTTATTGAAATGTACCGTGAATATTTAATTAAGCGGCGACGTGGTAATATGAGCAAAAGGAAATATTTGGATTTTCTGGAGCTAACCACGGGCAATATGGGTGAACACGATTTGGGAAATTACGCTGATAAAGTTTCTGACGGAGATACCTCGATGCCTGTCAACACAAATATGATTGGTTTGTATTGTATATGTAATAAAATGACATAGTACGAATTTTAAGCAAATAAGTTAGGTTAGGTAGACTTTTATGTAATTGTATGTACGTGCAACAAAATAGTGGTCAGTGTAGATTGACTAATAATAATTTATGATAATTTATATTATATTAATTAATTTCGTATTAAAAGACCATGTTGCGGCTATAAGTAAACCGGTTTATACGGACACCGAACTGTTAGCCTTGTCGTTTGCCTTTTCGACCGGTGGCATCACAAGCACCGCATGCGCCCTAACCGCCTGCGTCTACGAGTTGGCCCTAAACCCTGCGATTCAGAGCCGCCTATACCGCGAAATAGTGGGTACCGATAATGACATGTCGTACGAGGCGTGCGAGCGTTTGCCATATTTGGATGCCGTTGTATCGGAGACCCTGCGTTTACACACACCGAATGTTCGTTTACTGCGAATAGCCTCCGCTGATTATGACCTAGGTATCATTGTTTCAACTATAAAATGATACGATTTTATATTATCTATTATTTTCAAGATGTAGCATACTGAAACGTTCAAATGATACACATCATTTATTTATAATTTATTATATTTGTTCATATTATTATGCGTAATACGTAAAATATTAATTTAACTAGTTGATTGACCAAAATTCTAAAATATTACATTTATTAGGCGACACTGGCATTACCATACCGGCCGGACAGCACATTGAGATCCCTTTGTACGCCATACACCATTCGGCGGAGTACTACAGCGAACCCTACACATTTAACCCGGACAGATTTATGCCCGAAAATGCCTCTACGTTAGTGCCGTACGCGTACCTACCGTTCGGTGCCGG